TCCCTACACTCATAAGAGCCTGGTGAGGATTCCCCAGAGCACATGCAAGGTGATGCTTTAGCCAAGCATTAAAACTACCAAAAAAAAATTTTAAGTAATTTTGATAGCCTCGGCAAACGGCAACAAGTCGAACCCCTACCAAGCAAAGAAATGAGTGAACAGGTGATCCAAAAGACACCTAATTGATTAATATAACCCCATCAAGACAAGAATGGAATGCACAAAAGTCACCTAAGAAGTCACCAATGTTGAGTTAGTAACTAGTCAATCTCATTACTATAAACCTAGAGTTATTGAAAAGAAGAGAATGGAGAATATTTGTTGCTGTTCTTCTTCAAGAAGTGCAAGGTCTAGTAGTGGGATACTAGAGATTCATTTGTTACAGCGCTGTTTTGACAATACTTGACCCTTCTCACTTGCAAGCACTCGTCTCTTCCTCAATGATTGCCCGCATCCCTTGTATTTATAGAAGGAAGACAGTCTTCTCTTGAGTTTCCTAGCCATAACGGGGGTAAATCCGACCACTAGATGGAGACCTTGGGAAAGATTGGAGGATTGTTTCACCAGGCCAATAATAATAAAGCACATAGAAATTTAATTTTTTATGCTTAGGTTGATTGTATTCATAATTAAAATAATCAATACTGTAATCCAGATGATGGGTAAAAATCCAACTTATCAGTTTTGATTTCATCGAGTTCAAGAGGGATTCCATAAAGTTCAACCAAGTTTTTCTTGGACCCATACTTAAAAATTTGATCTGATGGACTAACATGATTTCATTTAGTTTGTCATGGTCTGCTCCAGCTGACAAATTTGGCCATGTTGATGTGCATTGAAAAACTTTGAACAGGGTTGACATCGTAGGGCTTTGAACTGATGCGTAAGACAATGACCCTTATTGCATGTAAAGGATTACCTTGACTCTGCTGCAGCCTCCATAGCAGTTATGTAGACCCCTTTTCAAGATACAAAACTAGTTGGATCCTTCACTGTTACGATCACATTTACTTGGGATTTTTTCATATTTTTAAGCAATAAAAATGAAATTCAAACTCTTCTAAAGCTATAAAGACGAACTTCCAACTTTTATATAGATAAGAAGCAACCTTTGATCCATTCAAATAGCCCAAAAGATGAAGTTAAATGCTTCAGAGAGACATAAAGTTCAATTTCGACCTCAAATTGATTTTCTGGATTCGTCAAGATCACTCATTCATATCTTCATATCTGAAGGGACACTGAAGATCAACTAGTCCATTATAATCGAATATGTTTTCACTATACTATATCTTAATGAGGACCTTCTAGAATCTCTTGAGAAAGAGATTAGTCCCACCAACAACTAGGTGAAAATCTTCTAGTCTCTCATTAGGTCATAGATGCCTTTTTAACCTTATTAAAGAATAACATCGTGTCATCGCCTACAGTTGGTTCATGTGATTTTTTTCATCTTGTAAATAATGTTCTAGTCTCTCGTTAGGTCACAGATGCCTTTTTAACCTTTTTAAAGAATAACATCATGTAACCATCTACAGTTAGTTCATGTGATTTTTTCTCTAAAATATATTTAAACCTTCAAGTACTGAAAAATGTAATTGGTCTAGTTGTTGAAAAATTTTGGCGAATGCTAAGCAGTATAAATCACTTGCTTAGAATACTGCGATACAAACATTATTTAGCATTGATCACATATGATTTCCTTATAAACTTGATACGTGGAAGGTCGTCGCAAATGTTTCATACTGCTAGCTTGAAGAAATGATTCATATCTTGAAAGTTAGTCGTGGATTAGAGCTAGCTTGAAGAAAAGTAAGGCCGATGTTAAAAGATTATCATTCTAGTAGTGAGAAATAATATGGATGATTAACAGGATACAAGCAATTTCTATGGCTAATCCATGTAGTTGTGGATCAGAGCTAGCTTAAAGAAAAACAAGGATGATGTCAAAAGATTATCATTCTAGTAATGAGAACATAAGGATCAACACAAATGTGGCTTCCAATGTATGCCGTGGAAAGTGGTGACCATTGAAGAAGATGAGTATGTGAAGGAAGAGAAAACCATTCATGGAGAAGAAATAAATGATTAAATCCAAGAAAAAAAAAACATCATTGAGACCATCATAAGAAACTAGTCTAATGTTCATGTTATAGCTCATATGAGGAGGTTAAAGAAAGGATAGTCATACAATTTCTAAGGGAAAGAAAATTGGAAATTGCAAGGTGGTAGTGGAGAATTCTCCAACAAGGGAAACAAAGAGAGAGAGCATGATGAGCAAATGATAATTCTAAGCGTGGGAAGTATACAAAAGTTTCCTTTATCAATTTTATGTAGGTATACTTATTCATGCTTAGAAGAAAATTTTCATTATTTTCAAAAGAGTCATGTTGAAATCGTGATCTCCTCCTAAACATATATGAATTAGGAACTTGAACTCCAAAGTTATCTAGAAATTGGGCACACAATCTAGTCCATTGCAACTAGGGTTGTAAATGAACCAATATACTCAATGAACAACTTAAACTTGACCCGATTAAAGCTCGATCATATTCATTCAAATTAATAAATAAACAAGCTTGAACAACGTTTAAAAACTCAATGCTTAAACGAACCGAACATGAATATAGTCGAACTTGTTTGTTTATGTCACGAACAAACTCGTTTGTCGTTCAACAAGTAAATTATTAAATACTCGATATTAAATTTGATAATAAATCATATTATATATATGATATATAATTTAAATAAAATTTTATTGGTTAGAATTTATTTAATTATAGATTTAATAGTAATATATTATTATATCAAAAGAGTGTCATAAAAGATTTTTCTTGTAGAGTTCTCACAACCTTGAATGCAATGAGTTCATTTTTTATAACCATCTTACTGCAATTATCAACAACATTAATGTGGATTGCCTTATTATTATTATTTATTATTATTTTTTTATTAATAAGATTAAGCAAATGATCATCCCTATAACTTTTAGGATCAAGTTAGTTCCTCCACTTACAAAATTTGAACTAGTGTGTTCCTATCAAGAAGAATTATGTAGCTGATTACTAAAGCTCAAATATTTTAGAGTTCATAATCTATAAATTAATAGTTGTAACTAGAATTGCAAAATTATTTATTAAACATTTTTATATAAAATCTAGATTCTCATTTTAAATATTAGCTCGTTTATTAACTCGCATAAATACTAGTTCGCTTCTCATAAACAGACCAAGTACAAATCTTCAAATATTGAAAAAGTTAAACAAATCAAGCTTGAACAATGTATAAAAGCTTGACACAAGCTCAAGCCCAACATGAACAACTTATAATTATACCAAGCCAAGTCCGAATAATGATATACTCGACTCAGCTTAAATATTTGGAATTCAGGCTTGGTATTATGAGGACAAGCAAAGCGAATCTAACAATGGTATTAGATGGAGGTAATAGAGACTAAAGAATATGAGAATGGAAATGACTCAAAACAAACTCATTTTTAGGCCAAATATTTGGAATTTAGAAAATATATAAATCATGCTATCGTTGGACGAAATCTTCATGTCTTCACAACTAGGAAAACCATCAACCCCCTTTTGTGAAGCTTGAGCCCTTTTAGCTGTTTTTTGCATAAGAAGTCATCACACTTGGCATAAAGTATTTGACATATCAGTGTGGGAGGTAGTTATGAAATGTAAAGTACAGAGATTTTCTAGTAACCACTAACCGCTTCACCAAAAACATTGGAGTAAGCATCAAACACTACTTTATAATGAATCATTCATCAAACACCAAACCCTTGTTTGGAAGCTGAGAAATCGATTAAAAATACACTGAAAAACCATAAGGAAACTCGTGCCATTGATTGTAAATAAAATATTAAGCCACGCATTTCCTCCATTTTATTGCTTCTCTCTGTTTTTCTTTTTTTTCCTTCATCAAAATAAACATCCAAGTATCGTTAAAAAAAAAGGAAAAAAAAAACCGAGAACTCACATGATATCAGAAAGAAAGCCTACAAAAGTGCCAAAAACGAGCGAAACAGCCACTCCGGCAGATGTTATCAAAACCATCTGCTCTCCACTCATCCCATGGTACGCAAACTCATACTCCCCATACATCGATTCAAGACCCTCCATCACTGCATAAGTTAACTTACCCATGAACTTCAGCAAAAGAAGAATATAATTAGCATCGCAAAAACTATGCATTATATGAATAAATTTATGAATGCGAAACCCTACCCGACGCGAAAGAGTAGAGGAGCAGGAAACTCCTCTGGAAACGTAGGAATGGCGTGGTGGGGCCGACATCGAAAAGACCGGAAGCTGTTGTCGTCGTCCTCGCGGCTCCGCCCCCTCGCAAGAGGGAAAGAGAAACACGGAGAAGAAGCAGCAGGCGAAAATGAAGCCATAAATAAGGGGGCTCAGCACCCATTCTTCCCTCTCGACCACAACGCTCATCGAACCCCCACCTCCGATCCACAAAATCCTCGATTAGAGACGATTTATACGAGATCCAATGTTCTCCCCAGCATCTGAACTCGAACTAGTGCTTCATGTTTGTGCCTACCATCAACCGTTCCCGGGAATCAAGAGCCTGTCTGGTAACGGATTTACAGCAGAATTTTAACCTAAATCTCGCCGGAGGGGATTTACTAAATCCCGTTGATATGTTTTTTTTTTTTTTTAGAATGAGATGATATAAGAATGGTCTTGTTCGGCAGCGCAGCTGTGAAGTCTCGCCTATTCATTTCTGTATATGTTTTTTTTTTTTTTCGTATGGACGAGACTTTTTATAATAATGATGGAGAATGATGAACTTGTTAATAGGTAGAGATATTATTGGTGATTTTGGTTTTGACAAGTTGTTAAGATGAAATGCAGTTTGTAGGGTATCAATCTAAAATTTATAGGAAAGATTTGTTTGACGTTTTACATGAAAATTTCTACAAGAATGACAATGATTGCATTCAGTAGTAAGCATTTATCACCTTTGAGGCTCGAGTAAACTGTTATTTTCTCTATGGAATAGTTGAAGTAGGAGAACTGGTTATTTTATCCATGTTTTTTATAGACTATGGTTAGAGTATATATTTTTCATTGATTGATGGGCAAGAGTTATGGCAATTATACCTTATTATGAGCAGTGAATTGTGCACCAGTTTGTTTTTTTTTAGATATTTTAATTGGAGATTAACCCACCCATACCATAATTGCTGTTTTAAGCCTCTTCTTCATCTACAATTCTCTGAATATTGTTATTTTATCATAAGAATCACATCATATATTTTTCATTAATTGATGGGTAAGAGTTATAGCAATTATGTTCTGATATGCAAGAATACTAGCTGAATTTTTTTTAGAACACAAGACCACTAGTGATTGTTGTTGTTATTGTTTTTTTTTTGAAATGCAAGAGCATTTGGAGTTATGGATTTCTCCATCTTCATATGTATATAGTCATAAAAATTTGATTGGAGCTATCTTTATTTTTATTCTTTGATTCTTTGCTGGTGAATTACGATGATATTGAGAAATAAAGGCTGGATTCTTGTATGAATTATCTTTTCTCTTTGCCTAACATATATCATTTTATGAATTGGACAATTCCATTTAAGCCATGGAGTTAAGTCCTTGAAGATTTGGTCAGAATAATATGATGTGGGATGTTTGCATCGTTTGAGAATCTACAGTTTTCAAGGATGTGATTCTCTGTTCGGTTATTGATCTGGAAAGGTCTAAACATTTAATTATTAAGCAGTTTTCAAGATAGCGTTGGATGACCTGTTAAACATATTTAAGATGGTAGGCTTGCTTGCTTTAATTATGCATTATTGAATGTTGAGTTTTTGTTTTCTATGAGGAATTGTGGTGCCTTAATCATGCACCTACAATGGTATTTTAATACTTTCAGCAATTTGTGAGGAGATCTATATACATACCAGTCAATTGCCATATATTGACAGCTTTAATACCCAAAGTTTGAAGAGTCATGATGAACCTGTCTTGCTTATTTCATTCCTTATCTTTTTGTTTAACAGGTATGATAAGAGATAAGGCACTGCTCAGAATAAGGTATAATTGCTATATATACCATTATAGCAACTGTAGATGGCATATATAGAATGGTATGTATATATGCAATAAATGTTTAGACAGGTTCAGGCACATTGAACCTCAAGCAAATCAGAACATAATTGCTGATTATGGTTTAAAACAATATATTAGAAACCGGTCTTCCACTGTGTTGATTTCGACATCAAAAATAGGTAAGAAAGAAAGCATATATGCTATTGCGAAATTGGTACAGTCGGTGGAGTGGGATTCTTATGTTCTATTTTATCTTTTTGTTTTTTTAGAAATCAAATAGCGTTTTGAAAAAAAAGAAGGTACAAGCATTGTGCTAAATAACAGATTTTGGCTTGAATATATGAAATCATTTGTGGCTCGAGATAGGACTTATTTTAAATAGCAGATTTTGGCTCGAAATACGTCATGAAATCATTTGTGGTAATTCATTCAAATTAGAAATACACACTTAAAGTTTCCATGAGACAACATAAACATTGTATGTAATGTTGTGCTTTTGATTTTGGATAATTCATTCCCTTTGCCTACATTATTTGAATGACAAATTGTCATTATTGGATACAAATATGAAATATCAAAGTTGCCTATAAGTTCGAGATGTACCTATGTGGGGTAAGAGCGATGATGCAAAAATCACTCTCAGCTCTTCTTTATAGCTGAAATCTTTTAATCAGTAATCAATTAAAGATGTCATTTTCATCCTTTGAGTCGCTGATAATTCTAACCCTTTCTTAAAAGATCTGTGAACTCACACCAAATACTACACACCAGATACTACACACTGATACACTACGCCTTTAGTTTAAAAGTTCATATACTACTTACACGTTCACTCATCAATTAAGTGACAGTGTTTAAAATTGTCCAATTTTAGGATGATTTGCTGGTGACTTTTGATTGATATTAATATATAGACTTCGATACTTCAGTTGCCTTTGAGATTGTGATAAATAAAAGTCTAGTCTGAGCCCATCTCTAATTTAAATTATTATATCCCATTTTGATTTTTCATACGCTTATCACTTAATTTTTATAAAAATATGCATGCTCAACTCTTTCATATGTAAATTATAAATGTTTATCTAACCCCCTTTTAGATATCGTAAATGTTTATAGCGAGCAGCTAGAAGATAATGGATCAATTTTCAAAGCTAATTTACATATGCGAATAGAATGCCTCTCTATTCAATGGTTCAGATAATGGAATGAATGGGACAATTCATTGGAGTGCTGTTGAAGATGATGAGCTTATGTTCTCATAAGATTCATAGAATTAAAATGAGACAACTCTTACATTTATATATACATTTGGCTATTTTGTTTTGTTGTTCTCTAAAATTTTGCAGCTCCCACGAGCTCTCTGAAAGCGGTGCATAGTGTGCTCGGGGAATGAACTTGCTGTGCTAACCTGTGTTCAAGAAAATGAAAGATGGTGGCGAGTTAATGCTACTAACTAGTAGCACCACACAGAGGATCAAAGCCATGGCTGAGGTGAAGTAATATTAGCATTTACATACATAATAGAGTATGGTTAGAGTATATATTTTTCATTAATTGATGGGCAAGAGTTATAGCAATTATACCTTATTATGAGCAGTGAATTCTGCACCAGTTTTTTTTTTTTTTTTTATTTT